TAATGATATTGCAAGTGTTTTATACCTTTGCCATTGTCCTAAATATTTTCCTAGTTGCTATCATTACTTGTGTTATTCTTAATACTACAATCCTTCCTCCTTTTCCCTCTCCCTCTCCCTCCCCCATCCCCCTCCCCCATCCCCCTTTCCCACTCCCTCTCCCTCCCCCTCCTCCATCCCCCTCTTCCTCTCCTTCTCCCTCCCCCATCCTCCTCTCCCTCTCTCTCTCCCCATCCCCCTCTCCCTCCCCATCCCCATCCCCCATCCCCTCCCTCTTTCCCTCCCCCTCTCCCTCTCCCATCCCCCATCCTCCTCTCCTTCTCCCTCTCCCTTCTTCCCCTTTCCCTCTCCTCCTTCCCCTCTCCCTCTCCCCCCCACAGGGCCTGCTGGGTCGAGACTTCACTCCTGCCGACTCTCCCGAGGAAATCCGCGAGGCCTTCGGCGTGTTCGACAAGGACGGCAACGGCGTCATCTCAGCCAACGAACTCAAACACGTCCTCATGACCATGGGAGAGAAGCTGTCGCAGGAGGAGGTCGATATCATGATCCGTGAGGCGGATATCGATGGCGACGGACATATCAAATACGAGCAGTTCGTGGATCTCATGACGAAGTCGTTTTAAAAAGGGGATGGGGAATTTGATTTCAGATTTTTTTCTTGTTCTTCTTGTTATTTTTATTTTTATTTTATTATTTTTTTTATCATATATATTTTTTATTCCTTCTTCTTCTTCTTCTTTTTCTTCTTCTTTTTCCCCTTCTTTTTCTTTTTCTTTCTTTCTTTCTTCGGTGGAGGATATTTTTTAAGGGTGGAGGGAGTAGGAAAAATTCTGGGAGATTTTAATTGGGAGTGAGTGTTGCAATTTATGTGTATTTCTTTTCTTTTTTTTCTTTTTATCAAGATATATCAAGATTAAGTATCATATTAACGTGTGATCTTGTTTATTTCTTCTTTTATCAGGTGGATGTTAAATAATAAAATGGCGTCTTAGTTTTGAGATAAATCATCACAGAAACCATGAAACCTTTGTAGCATAATGAACAAAAACCAAATATGTAATAGGTATGATATAATGAACATTGAAAATTCGAAATATAAACGAGGGAACACAGGAGAAATGTGTCCACCAGGATATTGATTATTAAAATGTGATTTCTAACTATTTTAATTGTGTTTCATTCTTAACCCAATACTGTTTTGCCTGGAGGTTGTGAGATTTTATTTGGATCTGACATTCAAAATAGTAATTACTTCAGCCATCCCAACTTTTACGAATGCAGAAAACGCAAAGAATGTTAAAACAAAATGATATTAAAATAATGATTTTCTTCCAGTTTTGATGGGATTTTCTGTTTAATAAAGGAATTTGAACTGTTTCATATCACTAGTTTCTCAGGTGGTGTATTAAACTTTATACTGGAAAAGTGCTCGTCCCAATAAGGTTGGAAAGGCATTTCAACTCAGTTAAAACAAAAATGAAAAAAAGTCAACTTGCGTCTGTAACTGTGTAAATATAAATATGAGTTTGGAGTCAATGGATACCCTTATCCAATGAACAAAAAAAATATATATGTATATATATATGTGTGTGTGTGTGTGTGTGTACATATATATATATATATATATATATATATATATATATATATATATATATATACCAGAAAATGTGCATTTACAATGATAAAAGAAAGTGGGACATTAGTAATGTAAATGTTTCACTGATAACAAAATAGATTATCTAAGTCATGCCGAAAAAAACATTTTCTATGATGGGCACTCTTTAGGGTATACTGATTTGTTCTCAGCTCAATCTATACTTTCATTTTGATGATCATATCAGTAGACGAATATTACATTAGCATTTAAGCCACGAGATGTAATTTGAAATTTAAGAAGAAATACAACTGGAAACGGTATGTAAAAGTTCCGAAAATTATTCTAACTGTCATATTGCAGAATTAAATGCATTCGCGTGTCTTTGTAAATAGCATGATAGAGAAACATGCCACTTTTCTGTGCAGGAGTTAGCTATATTTTGTTTTTGTTTTTTTACATCGCTGTGTTTCATATAATCATCATCATTAGACCTGCGATTACCAGGCACTCAGCATCATCCCCGGTCTGTCAGTGTTATTCTGCGATCATTTTCACCTAGTGTATTTTCGCCCCTGAGGAAGAGTTTGCTACATACATCATTGCCATATTGATACGATTTTTTTTTTTTTTTTTTTTTTTTTTTTTTTTTTTTTTTTTTTTTTACTATTCGATGACTCAGTTGGGTAAATGCGATCGAGTATCAAGTGTTCGGGAGTCGAGGCTCGAGTATTCTTAGCACAGAGAAGGGGGGGTGTTAACGTATAGAACCTGTAGGTCGAGGCTATACTTTGTTCGACGTGTGTCCAACTTGCTTTATTGTATTTAATGTGACTGTTTAATTGGTTCCAGATTCTTTTTTTTTCAATAATTGTAGTTACTATATAGAATTCCATGTATTAACGATTACTGTTCTCTCTCTCTCTCTCTCTCTCTGATTATAAATTATAATCATCTACATTGTTCGAGTCATTATCATTATTTCTATCATTATCAACATTCATTCCATCAATTATGGTTTCTTTATTATCATCTGTATTGTACAGATAATCAGTATCATTATTAGTTGTTGTTGCAACTATTATCAAGATCATTATCACCATTTACTTCACAATTACAGAGTTTAATTACTATCTTCATCATTAGTGTCATTATCACCACCACTCGTTGCATTTTAGTCATCAATTTCCAAGAAGAATTATAATAATTAATAATCGTAAAAGGATGAAATCAATCCATTATAAAACGTGATGTGAATTTAATTCAACCAACAATGCAAGTAATCCAATATTAACAGACTATAGTATAATAACCTTAAATACAGTTACGCAAATAAATACATAACTAAACAAAAGGTAAACAGATACATAAACAAGAAAATAAACAAATCAATAATATAACAAAGACACAACCAAATAACGAAGTGAATATCATAAACATATTCTCTCGCTCTTCTCTCTCTCTCTCTCTCAAAACAAAAAGTTTCAATTAGTTTTATTTAGAGATAAACTTTTCTCAAGGTGAAGGTTTGAGAATCCCACGCGCGGAGGTTGTCTACTGCCTTGTACGTTCCTTCGATGTTACTGTACGTTCCTTCAAGATCCTTCGCACCTTCTTGGCTACTGACGGCGCACTTGCTCCTGTTGCGGATTCAGGTGATAGTTGTTAGGGTGCTTAGGGTAGTTAGGGTAGTTAGGGTGTTGGGTGTTTTATTTACGGTTTTGTTTTACTGGTAATTTTTTTATGGGTTGTTTCTTATTTATCTTCTGGAGTTATCGATCTCTTTTTTTTCTTTCTTTCTTTGTCTCTCTGTCTCTGATTTTTTTTTCATACTCTCTCTCTCTCTATCTATCTATCTATCTATCTATCTATCTATCTATCTATCTATCTATCTATCTATCTATCTCACTCTCCCTCTCCCTCTCCTTCCCTCTCCCTCTCCTTCCCACTCCCTCTCCTTCCCTCTCCCTCTCCCTCCCCCTCACCCATACCCTCTCTCCCTCTCCTCCATCTTCCTTCTCTCCTTCACCCCACTAAGCTAGCTAAATCCTCACCTCCTTGAAAATCAACAACAAAAACAACAACAATAACAACAACAACAACAACGGTTCACCCTCCTTACCTCCACGGCTTAGGGGCGCTGACCACTTGTTCCCCGTGGAGCTTGGCGCAGAGGTCACAAACCAGGGGCCTCACAGGATGACCCAGCTCGACCTTATATTTCCCCTTCCAGCGAAAGTAACTGTGGAAAGGGGAGAGAATAAATGAGGAGAGGGAGTGAAGAAATGGATAGGAAATAAGGGTGATAATAGTGGAAAAAGGGATGGGAAGGAAAAATAATTTTTGTTTTTATAAGGGAAGAGGGTGGAGGATATTTTTTCGAGAAAATATAAGGATTAAAAGATAAGTTTGTGTTTGCTCTTGCAATCGTCGCTCGAAACTCCTCATTAGGGTTTTAGATTCTACTTATATATCACCAGATCCTCACAAACGACGAGATTTTATTAAAAAAAAAGTGCAAGACTAAATGGATTTAGGGGACGAATAAAAGCACTACTTTGCATGGCGGAAGAAGATAAACGTCTCACGAACGGACTTACAATGCAGCCTTTAAACGATGAAATATACGCATAAGGGCTAATTTAATTTGGTATCGGTATCACATTAACACTGAACTAAAATTTGAGCATGGAGAATCAACTCCATAATCATGATTGTGTCATTTATTTCGTTGGTTTGAGTGTCTCGCGTCATAGAGGATTGGGCGGAAATGAAAGGAAGGTGAGAGTGTAAACAGACAAGATTATGTATTTTCCTTATTCCTTCTTTCTTCTTTATTTCCGTTTCTCTTTCCCTTGCACATGCTCGCTCTCGCTCTCGCTCGCTCTCTCTCTCTCTCTCTCTCTCTCTCCTCTTCGCTATCCCTTACCTCTCCTGTTATCTCTCCGTTTCCTTCCCTCCCCTTCTCATTTTTTTACAATTTTCATTCTCTCCCTACATTCTCTTCCTTCCCCTAACCCCTCTCCTTACCTATTCCCTTATTCATTCCCTTTACCCCACTCCCTCTCCTTCTCACCTATTACATAATCCTCCCCATCTTTCTCCTCCTCCCTCATCAGCACCCACCAGAACCCACCTGTTATAAAGAGTCTCATTACTTGCGACCTTCTTCAAGTACTCAGCTAGGTCGATGGGAGACAGGAAGTCCAAGGCATTAATGTAGGAATTCGGAGGCGCTATGGAGGCGTAGTCGGCGCCTCCGAACACCACAGGAATGACATCGAGGTGTAGCGTCTTGAATAATTTCTCGGTGACGTAGTCCGTACCTGAAGGAGGAAATTAGACAGGAGGTGGAAACCGGAGGGGTGGTAGTGTTTACAATGGGGAGCAGGTGTGGTAGCCAGGT